AGTCGTGCGTAACAGATGTAGAAATATGAAGGTCTTATTAAGGATTGATGAAAAAAAGGAATTTAATGACTGGTTTAGTTTACCATTTTTCTTGTGTCGCTGCATCAAAGTATGGCAGTATTCTTTTGGAAGTGTTGCGTAATCTTAAAAGACAAAAATCAAAACAAAGCAACTCCAAATGCCTTTCTCCATAAAACAAAGCCAAACAAAAAGTGCAGGGAAGGATATTTTGAAAACTCTATTTTGACCTTTAAACACAACCTTGAAAACTGCTTTTTTACAGCATTCTTGTGTAGTGACTTACTGTTCCTAAATTTCTTAAACCAAAATACGAAGTTTTTTAGACCACTGTTTTTTGTGAGGCCACCACTATTTGTCTAGAAGTTATTTTCGTTGTATGGCATTTTCACGGCGTTTTGCAGGGAAAATGAAAACCAAAAGTAAAAAAAATGTTTTTCATCTTTCTAAACTTATGAAATAGATTTGAAATCAATAATGTCATAGGTAGTGTGCTTTATTGAGAGCTATAACTTACACCAACAGGAATGCTTGCTCACAGAAATGTCATTTCTGGTTTACATAGTTTAAATGTTTAAGGATTTTATGCTGTTAATCTTTCTATAAGTAAGAATGGATGAGCTTCACAAGTTTTTTACTGTAAGGTGTGAGAACTAGTTCAGGTGATTCTGGATGGGAAGCCACAGCTCTTAAAAGAAAATTCACAAGAAAATAGTTTCAGCTTGTGGTGTTTTCTTTATGAAGATGCATAAGGAACACCTGACAGGTATTTTGTTGTTTGTAAATTTTGATGTTTCAGGGGGAATTTAACATTAGAAATTCAGGTCTTGCTTCCCATTCTTTGCTTTATGGATGACTGGAAAATGACAAGGATTAAGACTTCAAAGGTGGCAAAAGTGTATCTCCGCTGAAGTGGAACCCCAGTAACCTAGACTGAATGAGCCTCTCTCAAACAATACTTCGTACAGATTTAGCTGTGTTGGATTAAATCTAATTAACCGTTCCAGTCTTCCTGTGTAGAGGCAGCCTGAGAAAACACTTACAAGTGAGTACCTTTGGTCATGACTCAGTGGCCCCTAAGTGGTGAATAAAACAATGTGTCTATTTCCATATTCCCTGAAAGGGGAAAAAATAACTTTTATTTATTCATCATAACAACATCAAGAGAACAAAACGGATTTGTTTTTCCTTTGAAGGTCATTTGTAACATTGATGCAACAGTAAACATTAATATTAACCTTTCACATTACTTCTGCATCAAAATTAAGCACAAAATACTGGCAACACTACAGAAGAACTTCACTTCTCAAGACATTTGCCATTTTCCTGCTTTGAGCATTTTCTAAAATTAGTTTCCACTGAGGGAGCAGTACTCCCATATATGTAATTAATTTTAAAATCAATACAGCAGAAATCAAGATTTATACTTTCAGCAAAGATACCAGTTAGACTATCTGATCTTAGTTGATTTTTTTCCAAAAAAAGAATTTGTATTTTTTTAAAGATGTTTTTAGCTTCAAATATTTAACTTCATTGTGAGATTAAAAGACTACAAATTGTCATTTCCATTTATAATATCATAAAAACATTTGAAAAGTTTATTGTGTCTGTATGTTGTGTTCGTAGGGACCAATTTATACCCAGTGAATAACTTAATATTGACATATGTTCCACATAATTTTTCTGCCTTAAAAAGATTTCCACGTAATCCTTGTTTCTGCCTGGTATATGCAGATGCTGATCAAGCATCATCTCCTGAAGTAAGATGCAGAACCTGAATGGAGCCAAATATTCCATCACCTTCACCATGTTTCCACCAGTACTTAGTAGCTCTTAAAATGTACACACCTTCACTTTTGGAACATTCTCATTTTTTGGATGCGTAATGTGCAAACTTGGGTGTTGTTTGTTGGGTTTTGGTTTTGGTTTTTTTCCTAACGTAGTGAACGCTTCTTGTTTGGGTATGTGCAGAGACTAGACTTTGCTAGCCCATCCAGAAATGACCAAGAGTCTTTCAGTGCTGGATAGTCCATCTCTAGTTAAAAAAAAAATGTTTAAAAATGTGACGGGTACTGATTACTCTTGAGCGATGAGAAACTAAACGAGTGTGACAATCATATGCAAGTAAGTCAAAGTGATAGCATAGCGCAGCTCGCTGTGGGCCTTCTCAGCTGCCACCAGAATGCTACGCATCCCAGGTTAGCAGAGCTGTGATGGGAGGAGGGCAAAGGACACCATGGCTTTCAATACCCATATTTTGTGGGGAATAATTAATTTTGTCAATTGTGATACAAATTTGCATCTTTGCTTATGCTAGCTACCTTTGAGAATCAACGGTGAGTTTGTCTGCCTTCTAGCACTCGTCACTAGAGATTGGAGAGATTTTGTCTCAAAACTGATTTCAAGATTTAAATTTGAAGTTTTAGGTCAGCACTTGATATATAACTCTGTTGTGTAGAGATGTAAACCATACGCCTTTACTTTCCAGATCTCAAGTGTTCCCTTCTTCAAAATACACATACTATGAACTGTTAGACATTTTTATATTTTTACATAAAAAGGTATTTACAGGACTGTATGTTTCATCCACTTGAAATTGTCTTGTACTAACACCACAGCTAAATAACATTACATTTATTTGTTAGGCGTGAATTTTGACTGAAGCTGGAAGAAGGCAGATAGTACCCACTCTGTATTTTCAGAAAAAAGTATCTTGTTTCGGTATACAGAAATTCACATTATACAGACACAATTTCAATACAATTAATTTCTGTAAGTTATGACAGACCACATTCAATAATTATTAATCTTTAGAAGATGAGTTATAAAATGCTAAATGCAATATCAGCAATCGAGCATCTATGGAATATGCACAAAGACAAGGTAGATGTTTGGAATTGCAGAATACTAAATGGGAAGGAAAGATTTTAGATAGAGATACTTAAAAAATATGCAACAGCTTGGAAGCAAAGGAATGTTTCCCATCTGTAAGAAATTCAGTCCTTTGCTTAAAGTTAGGCAAGCTGAGGACTTTAATCTCCTTGGTGAATATCATAGCTGTCAGATTGGGTTTTTAGGTCAGTATTTTGGGTTTGCATGGCAAGGTTTTGGTAGCGGGGGAGCTACAGGGATGGCTTCTGTGAGAAGCTGCTAGAAGCTTCCCCCATGTCT